CCCCAACCTCTGCCAAGTTTTCTAAAGCTGCTCAAAGTCCTTAGGGCCCAATCCCTAATTAAAATCCAGGGCTTTGTTTATGTCTTTCGAAACCCAAAGCTGCCACTTAAGAAATCTGCAATTACTGGGGCCTGCAAATTGCTCCCGATGGGGTAATGAGCCTCACTCAGAAAGGATTTAAATTCCCTTTTAATCAAAATCCCACCTCAAAAATCATCCCTTAGGAGATGGTTGATTCCCGAAGGAATAACCTGGATTTTTTTGCTTTTTCAACAGCTAAAGAGGGGGGTAAAAAACAAAGCAAATAAATAAATAAATAAATAAATAAATAAATAATTTAAAATAAAAAATAATAGTAATAGTAATAGTAATAGTAATAGTAATAGTAATAGTAATAGTAATAGTAATAGTGATAGTGATAGTGATAGTGATAGTGATAGTAATAGTAATAGTAATAGTAATAAATGATAATAATAATAGTAATAAAACAGGAGGATGAAGTTGCGAGGATTTTCTGAAATTAATTGAAACATTAACAAAGTCTTTCGTGTGCGTGAGGCCCTAATTAATCCCAGGTTCATTTTTCAGGGCCGAGTTCTGCGTTCTCTCTGCGTGGGTCATTTTCTGACCTTCCCATTCTGCTCAGATTCTTTTGTCCAGGGATGTTTTCTGCCCCAGAATTCCAGAATAATTAATTTTTTAAAATCAGAATTAAACAGAAAAGGCCAATTCTTTGCTCAAATCTTTCCCCTGAGAAGCCCCAAATCTTTGTGAAGTCAAAATAAAGGGAATTGATTTGTTATTTTTTGTATCAATGAAAAATGCAAAACTTAAAAATGCAGCTTTAAGATCCWTTCCCTAAATCTAAAATTAATCATGAATGATCTCCACATCTCAATTGAAAAATTTGTGTCATTCCTGAGAAATCAGCGCTGTCCAACGACGTCCAGGTTTTTTCTGGAAAAATTCCAGCAATTGCCCATTTTGAGAAATCTGGCAGAAGCACAAAACCAGTTTTTAAAGTAAAATCAAACCAGAGGAAATATTTATAATTATCAATATAATATGTATTATAATAAAGATTATTATTATTTATTATTAATGAATATTATTATTTATTATTTTGTATATTTACATGGTAATAGTATTTACAATAAATGCAATTCTATTTATAATTATTATGTTTACCATATTATATAATTTATAATTATAAATATTATACATTTCTTCTATACATATTTAAAATATTTTTTTGTGAGGAGAATTGCCACCCTCGCCACGTCCTCCAGGGTGACTTCGTGACTCTCCCAAGGGCCCTTCAACCCCGCGGGGTCCTCGGGAGTGTTGGACTCGTTAATGAATAAATCATTAACGAGACTTTGAAACCCTTTAATTTGAAACTTCCCTGGGCTGTTCCTTGGGAACTTTGCAGAGTCACCCGTTTCTGCAGGAAATAATTCCAAAATTATTGGGAGCCCCACAAACAGGAGGAATTGTTAAAGATGGGGAAATAGGAATGAAAAGGAGAAATTAAATTATTTTCATGGGAAGGGGTGCATTCCCTCTGAAATATCCCAAATCCCAGCTGGTTTTGGGGTGGCCCAGCAGTGGGGAGAGGGGTGGGGGAGGGAATTTTTCCTTTTCCGCACTTTTTCCAAACAGAAATGTTGAGGTTTTGCTGTGAAATGACACTCCCTGAAATGACACAAACCTCCAGGTTTYTTTTGAGTGAAGGAACGTTAAAATTGAGCAAAAAACCCCAAATCCCTTCCCCGTGTGTTTTTGAGGTGATGTGAACCCCCAGGGAGGACCTGGAGCTGCTCCAGAGGAGACTCTGAGAGGATCAGAGGGATGGAGAAAAAGTTGAGGGAATCATTTGGCTCACACAGAAATTGRGMTTTCAGTTTTTATTCTTWAAAAAAATGACATTTCTGGCCACCCCTGAGCTTCTTAAATCCCTCCCAAATTCAAACGAGGAGGTTGGGCCGCAGAGATGCCCCGGGCTTTTATCGGGAGCTGCATCAAATGTCCCGTGCCAGGTGCTCATTATGGGTTGGCGTTTGGCCACCCCCGCATCATCATCCGGAGCGTGGAATCGCCTCCAGACACCCCCGGATTGAGCAATTTGGGCTCCGCAAGATAAACAAATCAAAGCCTAATCAGCTCCTGATCAGGGTGGGATTATTGGCCTCATAATGCTTTTTTTTAAAAAAAAAAGAAAAAAAAAATTATTTCCTGTGCTGCATCCGTGTTAAATCCCAATAAAGGAATAAATTTACTCTCTCGGGGAACGCGGATCCAGGGAGATGGATCCCAAATAAACTTAATTCCTTGGGTGTCACARATCTGACCCCTGGGTGTCACAGATCCATCCCCTGGGTGTCACAAATCTGACCCCTGGGTGTCACAGATTCTGTCACCTGGGTGTCACAAATCTGTCCCCTGGGTTTGTGTCCTTACAGTGATTCCATCTCAGCCTCCCAGGAGGGATTACAGGAATCCATGGAATGGTTTGGGATGGAAAGGACCTTAAAGRTCACCTCATCCCACCCCAGGGTGCTCCAGCCATACCTTGGACATTCCCAGGGATGGAGAATCCATGGAATAACCCGAGGCAGGGCCTCCCCACCCTCACAGGGAATTTCTTCCCAATATCCCATCCATAAATTTCCTCCCTGTCAATTTGAATCCATTTCCCGTCACACAATTCCTTGGATTTTGTCTCTCCCCGTCTTCCCTTGAAGCCCCTTCAGGTCCTGCAAGGCCACAGTGAGGTCACCCCAAAGTTTTTCCAGCTGAATAATCCCAATTCCCTCAGCCATTCCAGCCGGCAGAGCTGCTCCATCCCTCAGATCCCATCCTGGAGCCTCCTCTGGGCTCTCTCCAGCAGCTCCAGGCCCCTCCCGGGCAGGGGTCTCCACCTGAAACCCCCCATTCCCACCTCATTCCATGTCCCAGAGCTGCTCCATCAAATCATCGAAAAAATTGGTCTTGGATCTGTTCCAGGCGCTCTGTGGGAGGTGATTACGACACACAAAATGACTTTTTAATGAAAAAAAAATTACCAACCCTGGGTTCCGACGCTGTCGAACGCTGCCTGCCCGGGGAGTAACCGCGTTTTGGGGTGACAAAACCACTCCAAATTTTGCATGGTGGCTGCAATATTTCCATGGCTGATGCACTCGGTGCGTCTCAGCCATTAATGAATATTTGGGATGGGCTTTGAAGTTCTTCCCTTTCAAGAAGAAGCCAAAGCTTCAATCGTCCTCCAGCCCCGGGGAGATGCAGACAGACACCTCCAAGGCTTCCAAGGAATATGGGATGAGGGTAAATGAGAGATGGAGGCTCTGATGCTGCTGRGAGGGAGCTTCAAGCGAAATGTCCCCTTTTTTCGGGTTAAAAAAATACTTCGTGAAAAAAAATCCCATCKATCATGGAATCAGAGAATGGTTTGGGTTGGAGRGGACCTTGAAAATCATCTCGTTCCAACCCCTTCCAYGGGCAGGGYCACCTCTCACTGGGTCAGGTTGCTCAATGTCCCATCCAGCCTGGCCTGGAATGGATCACATCCTGGGACTGATCATTTCTTCAGCCTCAATGATCACAGGACTCATTCCCAATTAATCTGGCCCCTCTCCAAATTGAAATGTGAAAATAAAATAACTCTAAAAATAAAATCCCCAGCTTGGGGGTGATGTTGTACAAGAACTCTTCTGCTCAGATAATTTTATTCCTTCACGGTCGGTTTAATTCTTGTTTTGTTGCAGTCAGGATGTGCCAAGCTCMGCTTTAATGAATAAAATGAAACATTTCTCTCCTCAGAAATGTTTTAGGGTGGAATAATWGAAGCTGGAGACTTCCTTCCCTTGGTTAGCCAAAATTATCCGCTCAAATTATTTGAGTTGAGCAGAAATGATTGGTGGCTGCACCACCTGAAAGGGGTTCTGGGTTTGGGTATGACCATAAATGACCATAAATGAGGTGTCCGAGCAATTGCATGGATGCCACCAACTCCAAATTGCTCCCGTTCCTTTCCTGCAGCAGCGTTGTCTGGATATTCCTGGTGGTCATTCTGGCCTCCCAATTGCAGTGCCACGACATAAAACCTGAGCACTTTCCAGCCCTAATTTGGCCAGGGAAACAATTTGCCTGGTGGCCCCTGTCCGACAGCAGCTGCTGAAGGTTGGATTTCCGCCGAGAACCAGAGTTCAGATTCCGTCTGGAAAAAGGGAAGGGAAAAAACCATTCCTGGGGACTTTGCAGAAGTTGCTCTAAGGGTCAAGGGGGATTTATTCCCCAAAGCTCAAAATGGGAACTGGTATAGAAAAAAMCCACATTTTTAAAAATTCTGATGGTTGGCCGTTAAAAGGGCTTGGAGACCCTCGAAGGCAGCGACGCAATAAACTCCAACCAGGATGTGCTTCTGGAATAAAATGCTGAATGTTGACTGAAACACTGAAAAATCGGTGCCATGCAGGATTTGTGACCTAATTAGGCTTTCAGCTAAAGCAAAGTTTTATTCCCAATGAGAGATCCCAGCCAGACATGTGACAAAATCTGAAAACACAGGGCAAAAGATCTGCAATTACATTTATGCAAAACATGCAAATGCTTTGTGAATCTGGGACGGTCTGSGATGAGTCTGGCATGGTTTTAATTTGGAAACGGCCATGAGACAGACGAGGCAGTGACTAAACCGCCAGACAGAGGAGGAAAAACACAATGTTTTCCAAAGCAATCACCAGAAAGGCCTAAATTACCTGAATTGACAATGCCCCGGCATGAGGAGCGTTTGATCTCTAATTAAAGTCACATAAAACGAGGTYCCAGTGCGAAATGGGGATGCCACCAGCGAGGGAACGGGACAAGGGGCGTTGCAGCCCCAAATCAAAGGCTGGTGAAGGAGAAGGGAGTGTTTTCCATGCAGGATGAGCTTGGGAAACACAACCCATGAGTGAAGGAAGGCCCTGGGGCTGCTGAGGGAGGTATAAAASCTGCAGTGAGTGCAGGAGTCCTCAACCACTTCTCCTGCCTTCTCCTCGGCGGTGAAACAGGTGAGTAGCAAGGGGCTCCTTCTGCTTCTCTCCGTCCTTTTTGTCCTCTGACCTCGGTGCAGCTTCTCCTGGACTGATTCTCATCCGTGGGGTTCCAGACTCTCAATTCCTGCCAAAGATTCGGGAGGTGGGAGAAGGTTTTGGGTTTCCATTTCTTCCCCTTTGCTACGAGGTCTCATTACCCTTCCTTCCTCCCTACAAAAGCTGCACCCGGCCACCAGCCTGGGCCGGGTTTTTGACCAAAAATCTGTTCCTCACCTTCCCTGGGTGCTCTCCCATCCTCTGTCCAGGTGCTCCTGCAGCCACARCCATGTCCTGCTACGACCTGTGCCGGCCCTGCGGCCCCACCCCGCTGGCCAACAGCTGCAACGAGCCCTGCGTGCGCCAGTGCCAGGACTCCCGCGTGGTCATCCAGCCCTCGCCCGTGGTGGTCACTCTGCCCGGGCCCATCCTCAGCTCCTTCCCCCAGAACACCGCCGTGGGATCCTCCACCTCCGCCGCCGTGGGCAGCATCCTCAGCGAGTCCGGGGTCCCCATCAACTCGGGGGGCTTTGGGCTCGGGGCTCTCTCCGGCCTTGGTGGCCGCTACTGTGGCCGCAGGTGCCTGCCCTGCTAGACCCACGCCAGATGTCCAGTGGGTGCCTCCCCCAGGGCTGGCCTGAGGCTGGAGCTGCTGGCCAGCGTTTCCAGAGGCCCTGGGCCCCCTSGGGCCCTCCTGCCCACCAGGGAGGCCAACGTGGCCGGCCGAGGCTCCTGCTTGTCCTGCTTTCTTCTGCACCGCCCGAGCCCCGCTGGCCCCTGCTCTCCTGGCCCCGGGGCTCAGCCCCACCCAGCGCAGCGGGGTCCTGCTGCTTTCTTTCTGTCCTCACCCTCAATAAAGTTCACTCTGCATTGGATCTGGAGTCTCCTCGAGTCCCTTCCCTGCTGGGGGCATGAGATGCCCTGGAGGGGAATTTGGGTGGGATTGGAGAGGGCGTGGCCTTTTGTGAGTGGGCACTGGGTGACCAGAAGTTGCCCCAGAGGATGTTTGAGCCAGGACGGAGGGTGGACACTGGGTTATAGTTGATGAGGAAAAACATTGCCGTGCTGGAAAACACTTCTGTGGAATTCAACATCCACCCACCCAGGGCTGTGACAGAACCATGGAATTATGGGATGGTTTGGGTTGGAAGTGACCTTAAAACTCATCTCATTCCAGCCCATGCCATGGGCAGGGACACCTCCCACCATCCCAGGCTGCACCCAGCCCTGTCCAGCCTGGCCTTGGGCACTGCCACAGGTCCAGGCACAACCACAGTTTCCCTGGACACCCTGTGCCAGGGCCTCACCATCCTCACAGGGAACAATTCCTCTCCAACATCCAATCCCTGTCACTCTGAACCCATTCCCCCCTGTCCTGTCGCTCCTGTTCTTGATTAAAGTCCCTGCCATGTCCTGGGAACTGCCCCCAGGGATCAAAGGGAGCAGGAGCAGCATCTCATCACCCACTAAAGCTGCCCCATGGTCACAAGCGTTCACTGAGGTGGGGTCATTCCGTGGGTGTCACTGTGTCCTGCAGGGACAGGAATCTGGACCAGACCTGCAGTGATCTGTGCAGACTGACCACTCCAACCTGGACCTTCCTTCCAGCCCTCAGGATTCTGGGATTCCTSCAGGAATTCATCCATCCTCAGCCCATTCTCCAGTGCCAGTATCTGGCCAAGGTCTCGTCTCTCACTTTCCACCTGCCCGGAGTGCTCCTTGTCCTCTCAGGAGCTTGGGTTCTCCTCGTGTTCCAG